ATCAGAGTAAGCTGTAAAAGCGCTTTTAAAGAAACGCTCTGTACCTTCCATATCTGAAGGCCTTATCTTGTCCATTTGACGCGGTGGACCAGCTTTTTCACTACAAAAGCACACAAAGGAAAGGTTAACAAAGATTGCCAGAGGTAAAGGTAAGGTCGAAGAAAAGTCTAGTTTGTGATTATTCGATTGAGTCTTTTCCTTTTTCTGGATTTGGCGTAAAAATGTTTCAATCTGTTTTGTGATTAAATATAATTTAGTAAAAAATGGAACTTAGGTCTGTAAGAAAACATCGTAAGATAATTCCCCTTACCAGTACCATCCACATATTTGCCATTAGCAATTTTCCATCCGCAATTTTTTCCATCTTCATTTTTCCATGCGCATTATTCCGTCCTCATTTTTCCATGCACCTTTTTCCATCCTCATTTTTCTATCCGCATTTTGTCATCCCATTTTTTGCCATCCGCCATGATTACCGTGCCCTCACAGCATTAAAATTGTCCGGTACCACGGTCCAGCGGTCAATCTTGAAAATTCAAAATGGCGGACGAGTACTGAGTGGAAATTGCAAAATAATATTTAGAGGTTTTTGGTATAAAAGTAACTTCATGCTACGCATATTTAGAAGATATGTTGACAAGACTGGCAGAGCACTTAGCTTCTGTCGATATGAGCACAGTTCTCCGGTAAGATCATCACTGAAATGGGAGGAAACACAGTTCAACGGAGTGGAAGTGAATTTGAGCCAGCTTGAAGACAACCCTAACCTTGATGAGTTTTCTACCAGATTAAAAGGTAAGTTCACGTTCTGTAAAAAAACAAGGCTTGTAAAAAATTTAAGATACACGGCATTCCGTAGAGCCATGTTGTGCCAGCCATCCTCTTTAATCTCATGCTGCTATAATTCTTTGTCACATAACAAATTAAAAATAAATGAATTTTTTTAGGTGTCACGGTATTTAGCACTGCTCTGCTAATTGGAGATACTATAAATGAAGAAATAAATTTTGTAAATAACGCTGTGCAAAAACTTTTTTAAAAACCATGCTGGTTGGAGGCTGACCAGTGTGCTATTGACAGGATGTGGAGAAAATCCACCCAGAGAGCCTGGCGGGGGGAGGGGCGGATTTCAACCTGGGACCTCCAAGTAACAAATTGGGCACCCTAACCACTGAGTGATGTCACCTTCCTCATGTGTAACTATCAATTATATAACTATCAAATTCACTGGTTTGTAAACTAGCTCTGAAGACGCTCTGAAGATACACGGCCATTGATTTCAAGTCTACTACACCTGCTGGTCTATACAAAAGTGGGATAGCCTGGCAGGATAGGAGATGAGTGACATGAAGAAATGCAGAATTAGGTGTTTATTTTTCAATGTTATTTTATAGTGGCAGTGTTAACTTGAATATTGCATACTGCATGTCATTCAGATAGTATTCTGCACTGGAAAAGGGTCAGAAAGAAATCAGTGTGGATGAAAGTACCAATTGCTCAGAGTTACCTGATACCCGTGGCATTTAATCATGGCTTCAGTTACCATCATGCTGTTGGTGACTATGCCATGCTGTTAAAATGGCTTCCAGGGAGGCAAAGTAAGGTACCTCCTTATGCTACACACCAAGTTGGAGTTTCAGGTAACTGTAATCAATATTGCATTTTTCATTGACAGCATTATGGGTTTAGCAAGTAGTCTGTCCATTCACATTTTTTTTTGTGTAAGTTATTTTTCTTTTGGGTGCGTGAGTGTGCAAGAGTGAGCATAGAGCGCGAGAATGGCCTGGAAGCAGGCACAAGAAAATTAAATGTCTGACTGTGGACTTCTTTGGATTAATCTTTTTAGTCCTCTCTTCTATGTCATCTGTGACCTTTTCATTATCACCTGTGCCCTCGCTCCCTAAATTATATACTTTAAGAGCTCAACATCTGAAAGGATCCAAATACAAAACAACAACCATACAGTGTCATGGCAAATCCAAAAAAGGAAAGAAGCCAACCTTGTAACGAAAGACACTCATTTATTTCTTATCTTGTTAAACTTGAGAATGGCGTCAGGATGACTCTGAAAATGTTGTTTGCTCTTATCATTAATTTTTACTTGCTTGTGGGCATTACAAAACCTTTGCTCATAACCCAAGATTGCTGTAATTATTTTCAGGTCTTGTTCTTAACAAAGAAAAAAGTGAAGTGTTGGTTGTTCAAGAAAAGAATTTGGTATGTGTTCACAAAATGTAATGTTTGTTGATTGTTTTTTTAAAGAATCTGCTTCAAATACACTATATTTATTTCATGTTTGATGGTGAAACAATGTAATTATTATCAGCCGGTGGGGGGAGGGGGGGACAGGGGGCAGGGGGGGTGTGTTGGGGCACTTCCAGAACAATCGGGTGGTGGTGTGCAGCCCCCTTCCCAAAACCCTAACCCTATTTGAGACCAGACCGTGTTTCAGACCTGTCTTATAATTGAAGGTTTCATGCAAAAAGGGCGTATGTAGCATTTTGGGCCCATTTTTATTTTTTTTGCAGGATTGAGCTAATTTTTGGCAAACTGACTTGTTTTGACATGAAAAGCATCGTTGCATAATTGGTTTTGTTGACTTATGCTCCATTTTCGAGAAATAACATATGCAAAAAAATTCAGTTTTTTGAGTGGCATCTTTTAGAGCGAATCCTTCCAAGGTGGATTTTGACGCAGCGCAAACGGTTACTTTTAGCAGCTTCAACAGCACGGTTTCTCTTAAATATATGTTTTGATTTTTGAAAGAAGTAGAGAAATAGGCCAGAAAAAAATATTGACTGACCTCGTATCAAACTGGTGTCACGACAAAACAAACTTGAATCCAGCCCGTTCAGCGCCTTATTCGCTTGCGCTAACGAAGCAACAGTAAGAGAATTGCATAATTATATGATTGAATAATAAAACTAGCGCCAAATACCACACTTCGGTGACTTCATCGTTTAGCAAAACAAAGGTTTCATTTGTTTTTCACTCAACAAAAGATCTCCAAAAGATACCCATGGAAAACTGCATTTTTTGCAAACGTTATTTCTCGAAAACGAAGCGCAAATCAACAAAAACAATTACGCAACGATGCTTTTCATGTCAAAACAAGTCAGTCTGCCAAAAATTTGCTCGATCCTGCAAAAAATAAAAATCGGCCCAAATGCTACATACGCCCTTTTTGCACGAAACCCTTCAATTTGTTACCCAGTTCAGACCAATGTCAAGGGTATTGTGAAGAGCTTTGGTTGAAAGTCTTGTTGATAAAATTTATTATGATGAAAAAGTAGTTTCTTCTAAAAAAACATACCAAATTCAAGGCTTGTGTGCAAAAGCCATAATTACCCTTATTAAGACCAAATTAGCCAAAATTGATACTCTATCTATGATCAAAACAGCTAAAAAACCATACCCTTTGGGCCCAAACATACCACACATTCCCCCATGGGAATTATTATAGAATAAGGGATGTTAAACATTCTTTTTCATATTGAAAGGTTTCAAAGCAAAGAGTCTTTCAAACTGCTTCAAAACTGTTACATGTAGTTAATATGTTAATTTAATAACAACTGTTGAAGTTAAGTTAATTAAGCTGTATAATTTAGTAATTTGTCTGATGTTTGTTGATGACTCATTATTAATGTGTGTTTAACGTTTACATTGTAGTTAAAAATTGGCCCACACATAAGAAAGGCAGTATGGAAATTTCCTGGAGGACTTTCAGACGAAGGAGAAAGTCTTGGTGGGTTATAGTGTAATTCATTTGGAATGCTTAGTTTTCCTCCAACTAGCAAAAGCTTTGTAACTTGATTTTATTCAAGCCATTTCTATGAATTGTTTTGTGCTTCAAATGACCACCTTTTGTGGTTAGGCTCTGGATGTAGCCAGTATGAGGCAAATAAACCAAGACACTTGCCTCAGTCAGTCATTTTTGTTTTTGCTCTTTCTTTGGAGGGGGAATGTACATGTAAAACACTGCTAAATACCCATCAAGAGAATTTAACCACGGGCATTGCTTCAGTGTTGAAAACGTTTTTCTGACTACGGCCCTGTGCCTGGTCTGTTTGTCTGGTTAAAATATAGAAAAATGACCCTACATCCATGTTTAGCCTGGTTTAACAAGTCACTACCGTAATGATACAGCTGAATTACATGGGAAACAGAAATAATAAAATAAATCCAGCCTGATTTCAGTGCAGTTGTTTTAACGTCACCGAATTGTACAGATTTCAGCCAATCAATGATTGTTGCCTGAGTTTACTTAGCAAAAGTAGATAATAAAAGTGGCATGTATTTATTTATTTTTATTTTTGGCCTCAATTTTTTGGTTTGTTCTGTGCTATTTCTCTGCATGACTGTCCAGAAGAAACAGCCACTCGTGAAGTCTGGGAAGAGACTGGAGTCAGAGCAGGTAACTGTGTTGAAGATTACGTGACTTGAATACTATTGATCCTAGCCAGATGTCTGTTGAAATGGATTTTTTTTCAGCCTATTGCACCCAACATTGGTTTCAGCTGCAGATTAAAGACAAATTGATCACATGATGACAAACATCTCTTGGCTACAGTTTGCAGCACAGCTGTTGTAAATTCCTCAAAAGTGTCCGTTTCGAGGCAAATCCATGCGATGGATTTTGCATTTGTCGAACTCTTCTCTGTAACATATATCTTGCATTGTATCTTGCTAGAAAGTGCAAAACTCATTTGACAAGCTTGCAAACAAACTGGTAGGAAAGATTCACTTGTCACACGATCATGAAATTTAATACATGCAGGTGTTGGGGTTACAGGCCTTAAGAAAGCCCTGAAACTGATTTTAATCTTCACAAGCTCCACAGCTAGCTTGTTTGAGGCTGAATAAGAGAAATTAGGTAAAATAATGCTAATGACCCTACAAATACCACCATCGCCTATTTGGCCATTATTGATAACATTTAAACAAATCTAAGGTAATATGGCCTTCCCTGATTGAAGACTAGTCATTGTCAGGCTTTTGAACCAGCTGGACGCTTGTGGTTTGTCTCATTACTGCCCCTTTCAATAACGTAACTGTAGACTCTAAAATTGACAGCTCAACTGGCAAATGGGTTTTTCACTACCCTCAATCAAATGTTCGGTGGCTCTTCCCAGTTTGCGACAACTGCTAAGTGTGTGCTAATCAAATTGTTGAGCACAGTTCAGACAACGAAACAGTGCTCAGCAATAGTCAGAAGCTGGGAGGAGCCGCCAAACATTCGATTGATGGTAGCAAAAAATGCATTTTGTCGGTTGAGCTTTCGATTTTAGAGTCCACGTTATTGAAAGACGTAATAAATCTTGATTTCTTCTCATCGACTTTTACTTTGCAGAATTCAAGTCTGTCTTACTATTTAGACAACAGCATCAAATGAGGAATGCCTTTGACAAGTCTGACATCTACATTGTGTGTAGAATGGAACCATCAAGTTTTGGAATAAGCCACTGCGAAGACGAGATTGCCAAGTGTGAGTGGATGAAATTATCAACTCTCATTACTCACACGGACACCACTCCGTTGACCAAGTTAGCAGCCAGGTTAACATTGCATGGACTGAAGAATGGATTTGAAAGTGTTGACATTGTGGGAAACAGAGTGCAATCTTGGGTGAATCCCAACCAGACATTCACTCTCTTCCACAAATATCTACCAAGCTAGCAATAGTGACTTTTAGAGTACTTTCCATTATGCCAAAGATTCTAGAAATTTCAGCCGGAAGTCAAATGGAAAGGTCCATTTTGGTTCCTTCAGACCAGAATGGTCTTGGAGGTGGTCTACTTTGACTGGTCAGACCGAAATTTGCCGTTCCATTTTCACAAACTGGTTCATTGCCCTACTTCTCTTCAGTAGCTTTCACTTATGTAAGGAATTTGGGAAAGGAATAAAAAAATGGTAAGAGCCATTCTTGTTGGTTGGCCCGGTTTGATTGAAAAATGTCGTTCCATTTGTCCTCGGGTAATCCCACTGGTCTCTGACCGGTCGGTCTGGCATAATGGGCAGCGCCCTCAATTTCAGTTATCCAATGTACTCTGGAGTCTGGATTTTTCAAACTACGTGAGGGAACAGAGACCAGTTCAAAACATTGGGAGGTTTCAAAAATTGAGGCCACTAATGCCCCTAACTTTTTTGCAAGCAAGTGAAAGATAGCTTAATTGAATAATCAGGAGGTTCCAGAAATCTTGGGTTGATAAAATTGGGATTCCACTGTATTCTAGTAATAATTATTGCTCACCAAAGACAGTGGAATTCAATAGGCGTAATTATCAGGTCAAAATACTAGAACATTGTATTCACCAAGTTTGAAGGATGCAGCTTGGCTTGAAGATGCTCAGTGTATTTTCTAATTTTCCATACATTTTCCTGCAAATTTGGCTGGGTGGACGCGATTCATGGGAAAAAATTATAGACAAATGTATGGGAAATTAAAAATTAACTGAACGTCTTCTAGCCCAGCTACATCCTTCAAATTTGGTGAATACAATCAGTGCTACCTAGATGGTAAAGTTGCGGTTTACAAGTAGTGCAAAATTCAATATTTAAAAAATGTTATTTCCCATCGGATGCCCATACAAACACTGTAATTTCTGACCGCTTTGCCTGTAGACATGGCACGATGGCGTCAAAAACCATGATTAGGCATATTTATTAGGCAATATCAAGCTGCCTCTTATGCTAGATATGTTAAACATGATGCTAAGTGATTTGTAGCTGAAGTACAGGCCTGGTTCTACATAATTAATACTAAACTGAAACACATATAACTGTACAAATTATGCAGTGCAAATTATTTTTATTTAATATTAAATTGCAGTACTTCATTAAACTTTTTTTTCAATGAGACCATGTACAAACAACAGTGGTTAATGATAATAAATAATCATTCGCAAGTGATTAAACCTTAGTGAAACAGATTGACAGAAATGTCCATGGATTTTCATTTTAATTAAGTTTCAAGGAGTAAGCTTACTCCTTGCCAAATACGGAATTTCCATTGTACAGACCTGCACAAGCAAAATTAGCTATACATCAAGTAACATATTAAAATGTTATAATGTTTACACATGTGAAAATACATTCAATTTTCAAATTCTGTCTTACAGGTACTTTCTTTCAATAGCCTTGTTGTTGTATTTATGCCCAAACTTTATGTGATTTTCCAAATAGTAATGATTGACATTTGCATGCAAGATTTGATGCACTCTATTATGAGCAACAGCAGGTCAAGTTTTGCAAACAAGAGTGGGACTGACAATACCAACACAACAGTACTACATAAAGCTACAAAAAAGTCTTTCATCTGGCATCAAGACTGCAACCATGCAGGATGTGCTTTGAAATGAGACTTTTTTGGAAAGTGATTCTTCACATTAATGCGCATTTCTGCTGGCAGTGTTTGCCGCACTTTGTATTTTCCTAAGATGTATCTGTCTGGATGCTGTTGTCCTGTGTAGCGTGGATCTATCGTGCCATCACGGATTGGATCAGATGCCAGTGTTCTAATTAATCTCATTACAGCTTGCTGTTCTGGAAAAAGAAAAGAGAGAGCCAAGTTAAGTTAAGAGTCCAGAATGAATAACTGGAGGATAAAAAAGATGGGATTTCAATAAAAAGTAAAAATCAAATGAATTTTGCTTTGTTCAAATTAGTGTTCCAGATCTGTTGTAAGAGAATGTCTCCTCATAACAGAAAGCTTAGAAGATTAATTTACAACAGACCATGAATTGCTTTTGCACACTTCGTAGGCTTAACAGCCATTATGAACGTCTGCTAAGTGCGAGAAGTGTGCATATTTGTCAAATTGCTTTCAGGAAGTACAACAACATTCTTGCAATCTTCTTTTGATCACATAAATTTCCCTGATTACAAAAAGTCAAAGTCATGTTACTTGTGATACACAGTTTTTCACACAGTAAAATACATGTAAAATACTATAACTGTTGAATAGATAAATATTACATAGTAATTTTATTTATTCTAGTAATATATTACATGTATATTTACATTAGTCAGCATGTAGTATACCTTCATTTCCAGCTTTCTTTAACCATCGATTTACAGCTGGTACAACATCAGGCCTGAATGTGGAACTGACAGTCTAATTCAATTGTGAAAAGGAAAACATAGCACTCAGTTATTGATAATACTGGTAATTGTTTGAACCTGAAGGTTAGCTATAATCACATCTTTAACCATTTACCTCTTCCATTTGTACTGTGTCTTGTGCTGCATTCATCATGTTTGTGACTGTCTTCTTGTCTGTTGAAAAGAAAAACATGCAAATACATATATTAAGTATAGCAAATATTAACACAGTGTGTGCAAAGTAGCCTACATGTACGGGAGCATGCATTTGCAACTACAAAACATCTTTTAAAAGACAAGAACCCACACCTGGTGGAATGGTGTATACATCTTGTAATTATAGACTATTTTTACCTGCCAATATATAAATTTTGATTCATTTTGGACAATTTTTTTTTTCACATCTTTCATGTAATATAGAGAGAAAAGGAGAAAACGGAGAAATAAATCGTAAAAATCTAATGTATGCTAATTAAGATGAGATATCCAAAACACTGTCATGGTCATGAATATTATCAATGAGTTTTAGAATCAGTTGTCTACATGACGTGAATATGACCCATCCATGGAATACACCTCTCCACCTCGCAGACTTAGTTGTTTGTTACAACTTTTGTTCCATTACCTTTCATGGTAGCATTTCTCACCCAAGCTTGTGTCGCTGGTATGGCTTTTGGATTCATGACAGCTTTTAATACCTGGAAACATGCATAACAGATAGAAGAACTGTTTATTGTCACTCAGTCAGTGCTATTGCAAATAAACTTGGTACACTGATCTGACAAACTGTGTAGGAAAGGTCAATGTCCACATAACAACATTTCAAAGGAAACTTAGCAGGAATTGGAGGTGCCTGCACCGTTTAGTAAAACACTGTTTTGAAGGTTAATGAGAAAGGAACTGAGAGGCAAATGAAGTAGATCAGTACATTACAAATACTTACCAAAATTATAAAAACTTTGGGGTTACCCTCACCACTATAATTTATGGCACTGTTCAAAATTAATAACATTTATTTTCTTGAAGTTGCCTATATGCCACCCAGTGCCCCCCCCCCCTCCCCCATAATCTACATTGTATACTTGACAAAAGTGTTTCACATACACTTTAATTTCCACCATTTTTATTTCTTCTTAGCTTCTACTGCCTTTGTTGATCAATGTAAGCAGTACTGCATAAAATCAGCCCATTTCAGCCCAATAGCCCATTTCACATAAGATTATATTCCATCACCTATTCCTTGGAAATCATTCTAAAAATGCCAAAGTCCTGAGCATTAGTAACCTTTCTGATTTGTTCCAAGTTTTACTTTAAACAAAACTGGTTAAAATAAATAGTGTGCACTATTTTTAGTCACTTTATATTAATTAATTACCTCATCTGTTCCTCTCTTTTCCATATCTTTCATCTCCCATAATGTGTAGTACATTGTTTGCTGGTTGTCACTTGGTTCATCAGGCTTATAACCAACTATATAAGAGAAGAGTTAATTTTGAAATATATAAACCAGATTTAAATATTAGAAACCACTGATAAATTGAGTGGCTAACATAATCACTAATTTGTGCAAGCAATGTACCATTATAGACAGATAAAAAGTTGTGGCCCAATGTGACTTGAACAAACACTACATTATGTTCATTTTTAACATCTCAGAACTGGACACCTTCCATGGTCATAAGGGTGTTCGTTCTATTACACAAGAGGTACAACTATACTGGTACAAGAAACCCTTTAGGAGTGTCAGATGCTTAATTTTTTAAAAAATTGTCCTTAATAAAAAATACTGACATACATTTTAAATAATTTTCATTTTTGTGTTACTTTTGAGAATATAATGTAGTTACCATCATGATAAGGCAAGGTCTGTTGCATCATTAAATATTAATGATTATTATTATTGTCTATTTTTATTGTCTCACCATCATAAGGGTCCTGTCCTGGTTTTTCTTTCGGCTTGGGAAACCCCTTAGCCTCCCTCAACCTGAGTCGCAAAAATGATCTGGGGAGAAATGAGAGGACATCAGTTACATACAGTCAACACCAGAATAAAATTACTTCTTTGTCAAATACCCACTACAATTTGTTGTGGAGTCATGACATTAAAGAACCCAAGGCTAAAAATTACTTGATATTAGTAATGGTATTTCGACTGAGTGGAGCACAATTCAGGGAGTTAAAATTCAAACAAGTAATTTCAAAATCGGATGAGTGCACAGCACAAGGCTAATTTGAAATTACGGGCACAATAATATTTATACTCTCTGAATTGTAGGACATGAGGTCCAATTACTTCTGAGATAAAAAAGTCAGAAGCAGTTTCCATAACTTCTATTGTAGGGAACATTATAAGGGAAGCTATTAATTAAAGCCGCAATATGGCAAAGGGCGCAACAACTGTGTGTGACAAATAGGCGAGCAGACAACCAATCATGACAAAGAAATTTTGTTATAAACACGACATATGGAAGATCAATAGGAGCAACTTCAGAATACCCGGCCACTTTATTTACCTNATTGTAGGACATGAGGTCCAATTACTTCTGAGATAAAAAAGTCAGAAGCAGTTTCCATAACTTCTATTGTGGGGAACATTATAAGGGAAGCTATTAATTAAAGCCGCAATATGGCAAAGGGCGCAACAACTGTGTGGGACAGAATACCCGGCCACTTTATTTACCTGTGCCGGTGGGCTTTGAAGAACGAAGTATATAACAATAGTTGCTATTCTTATTCAATGAGATGCTAATAAGTGGCCGGGTATTCTGGAGTTTAGCCGATCAATACTGAAGCTTAAAATAAATTTTGTCATTAGTATTTGAAACATTTAAATTCAACAATGAACTGCAGCTATAGTAACTTTACACGGTATAAAGGCACCTTCTTTACTACTCTTCATTACTCACAAGAACTCAGTCTTATCGCGCTTTTCAAAGTGAGAAATAAACGTTACCACTTACACCGTATGTTCCCACTCATCTTCGTCAAAGTTAAACGCTAAATTAAACCGCTTGGGTGTTTTACTATAACCACTTCAAAAAACAAAAGAAATACAAACCTTGTAGGGTGAGGATTATTTCGTCTTGTTGGCGAAGTCGGGCGACATGGAGTGGGTTCTTGAAGAGCTCTGTAGTTATGTGTTGTCGAGTAAGTAGTAACAAAGTGGTTACATTTTACAGAAGGCAAAGGCTCGCCAGGGTTTTCCCAAGTATGCTTCCATGACTGGCGAGAAAGGCTGCGAATCTTGTCGAAATCCGATTGTGAAATACCTTGTTTTCGTCTTTCATGTTCTCTAAACACTTCGGCAGACTTGGAGCGAAAGCGAAGCTCATTTGGATAGCCTGGATTTGTTAAAATGTGAGTCATTATGACACACCAATAACATCAAAGCCGTTCTCTAGCTTTCAATCGATGTTCCCGGCAATATTCTGGTCGCGATACGATGATTTCGCTTTTGCCAGTGGAGATCGCGTGTTATTCGTAAGATATTGCCCTGGGCTACGCCAGAGTTGATCTGCAGGTCGCTCCAACCTCGTTTAGTTGCCAAATTTGACAAAGAGTCAAGAAATAAACTGTTTTCTGCCGCACCGCGGTTGAACCGACAACAATGAGATTGCTTGGTAACTTTAATTTATGCAGCGCCGGGTTAATGAATAACCATACCGTTTGCTAATTGACTTCCCTTGACATGTCATTTCATCCAATATACCGCAAGTTTTAACAATGGCTAATTATGGTAAGCCATAGACTAAATTGATTAATTATTGAAAGGAAAGGAAAACCGTATTCTCAACGGCTGTTAGCTTCCAAAACCCGTTGTTTGTAGAAGACAAAGAAATCGGGATAAACTGGGTTTAATAAATTGAAAGGCAAACATGGTTTGAAGTACTTCTTCCAGCAAGCACTAAGAAAGGCAAAAACCTTTCAGAGTTTCAATGGCTAGTACTGATTACGAGCAACGCGGGCAGTTTTGGCCGAATCTCCGTTTCCATACAAGCACACTGGCTAAAAAGAAAAGAAAAAGATGATCCGTTTAAAAAACGCGAATTAAGCGCCACAACAATTTTTTCGTTCTTCGGAGCTTTAAAAATTCTGCGAGTGGCGTCATCGAAATGTATCAAATTTGATCGCTATCGCAACAAATTAAACCTTTAAAAACCCGCGTGGTTCTTGGACGTCCTTGTAGTTGGGATATAAACAAGACTGAAACCAAGAAAAAAATTTTCGCTGGGGCAATTCTCATTAATTCATTTACAGTTAAGCCAAGTCC